TTTTCCTGGCTTGTTCTTTCCGCGACTTTTCATTTTGTGCCAAGCTTTAACGCCGTCCTCTGCCCATGCTTTACAGCCTTGGTCATGTTTTGTGCCAATACCAGATGGAAACAGCTGGCAAACAAAACAAAACAAAACGCTGCATCTTTTTTCACCAAATATTCGACATGTGGATATGTATTGAACCACGCAGATGAAAAATGGCACTGCTTAGACGGATGAATATCAGGGTTTCGTGGATATCTACCAAGTTTTGGTTGGAACGGACCTTGCTGGATGACGTATACTTTGTCTTCATCAGTCAGAATGGGTCTTCTACAGCCTGGATCACGATCAATTGGAACAAATTTAGCAGTAATTGATGCTTCTTCGATCACCTTTTCTTGGGCATTAATGTGTGCCAGCACTTCTCGAGTGTCGGAGAGGAGAGAAGAAGAAATTTGGTTAACTCTTTCTACTACATCAACCAGTTCGCCAAGCAGGTTTTCGGGCTGTGGCACATCCACATTTTCAATCTTGGACACCAACTCTTGACACTCTCTTAAGTTTCCGCATAGAAAACTAAGTTTTCCAAAGCACGATATCCAGGTTTTGCCTTCTTTGTCGATGCTTTTGTCTGTCGGTATGAGAGATTGAGCTTTGGAACAACTCTGCTCTAGGTTTTCCTGTGAGAGAAATATGTAAATGTTATGCAATTTTCCTAGCTACACGCCAATTAACAATTTAACTCAAACATTGCACGAATGACTATTGTGACCAACGACCAACGTTGCACCAAATAGATGACTTACCTGGTCGTTTAATGATTCTGTCGGACTTTCAGCAGAGTATACATTTGGTTCATCACTTGGTTCATCATTTGGTTCATCACTTGGTTCATCACTCGGTTCATCACTTAGTTCATGGGATTCCGTTCTAATACGTCTCTCTATAGTTTCCGAACTGCATGGATTATTTTCTTCCGCTCCTGTCCATGGTCTTTTGTTAAACTACAATCTGTATAATAATGTAGTATAAACTGCAATTATTAATCATAAATGATAAATTGATTTTAATTAAGTGCTACACTAAATTGAATGATTACATAACATTTAACACATGGTAAACATTTCCCTTATATAATAAGACACTATACTATAGGTAGTCAGGGCGCGCGTGAAAGTTTAGCTTTGGAAGAAGCTATCTGGATGATGTTGTTTTACAAGATGTTAATAATATATACGGTAGTATGTGCACCCACCGCTGTATCAGAGGTTCTACTCTTGTCAGTTTGAATTTCTTCGGTTGTCAGATAATCTTTTGCTACTTCTTCTGCAAAGCTTTCCTCATTATTTGACTACAAAATTATTTTTGACTTTTTAGACAAGCATTTCAGTCCTGATCTCTATCTAGACAGACTCTACATCTTATTTCAAATTTAATGGTAGAACTGAACGGAAGAAACGTAAAAACCTTTCTTAGTTAGATTAAAAATGCACAAACCTGGTCTGAGTGTTGTCCCCAAATATCCGGAATCAACGAACTTTGGCCAGAATCTGTTGCGGCACCAAAATTCTAAATGATTGCATGACATTATTACATGTCAATTTTTCATGTTTTTTATTTTACACGTTGGCGTTGCATCATTGCATGCATATTCTTTACTTAATTAAATTTTCTTCACAATTTTTGTTTTTCCGCGTTGTTGCCATTTTGCTGTATACATCATTAAGGGGCTGATTACATGGAGCAATTTCAGCCCTGAGTTTCAGCCCGGCTGAAAATTCCGCCCTGCTTTAACGATAATTTTCTGAGTAAATTTTAGCCCAGGCAGAAGTCGCTCCATGTAATTATTTAGTATAGAGGCAAAGAGTGTAATTAAATAATATTTTGCATAATATTATCATTATATTCTAATTTATTCTTTTTATTTAATTCTATTAATAGTATTCTCTCACTTTTCTGGAAAATTAAAACGTCAACAAGGTATTTGTCTCGCCGTAATACATATTTAGAGGATTAGAGTCTAGACTTCCATAGACATATCCGCATACAATATATATACTCTAGAACGCAGCTCAGTTTCAAACACCTCTGCATATAAGCTATATGTATACTTGTGTATAGCTAATTAGCTATATATAAAAAAACGAGGGTAAAATTATGTACAACATGTCAACACACTCTTGAAGTTTGAAGAAGCATTATGTATTTATGTATAAAACCTGAAACATTAACATACCAGTTTTGTCTGTTTTTTGTTGACAAGCGGCAATGTGTGCGCGTTATATTTTGGATGCGCAGCCTTGCAATGCTTCCCCTTGTAATCGTTGTCAAATACTTTATTGCACAAAGCACACGTTACTTTAAAGCGCTTGTTTGGCATCTAAAAGAAGACGCAAACTATTTAAATTAGCACTTGACACGATGACATATGAATTTAAGCGGTTCAAATGTTCGTCCAAATGCATTATTAATTATAAGTTATAAATGTGAGTATG